TCGATTTAGCAGATAAGTTTGGCCCAAGAAATTTATCCGCTAAAATTGAAATATCCGTAAAAACAAAATAAATTTGGGATTAGCGGATTTTATAATAAATCACGTGATATCAGTTATAAATCGTACATATTAATAACAAATTAAAATATGTAAATAATAAAACAATAATATTTAATTTTCTTCTGATCTGTACATATTTTCAACTTTATTAATAAAAGTATAGTTATTTTTTTAAACTGTCAAAAAAATTTTTTTTTTTGATTATAGTAATAGGCAAAAGGTGGATATTTCCTTCTCTTCATATAAGAAAAAATTTTCCTATTGTCCAAGTCATAAGTTTTATTTTCACGAATCATTCTACAAGCCATAAATTTTAATTTTACGGATCATTAGTTTTAAATTATTTTTAATTATAATAATAAGCCTTGTTTCTATTTTTTTCCAAAAATATAGACACTTTTAAAATCATAATTTTATTTATTTTAACCATATGTTATTATCATATGATTACATTATCGAATCATACGTTACGTTTATAAAGAATGATCTTATATCGAAATAAATTTGATATTAAAATCCATCAAAGCCTGTTAAATCAGCTAAATCGAGTTTCACTATGTTACTCCTTCAGATTGTTATAATAAATAAAAACTATAAAATTAGGGATGTTAAACAGTCCTAAAAGACTGATGGACTGTCCTTGGGCTGGTCCAGTCTTTCTCAAAAAAGACCAACTGGTAGTCTTGAAGTCTTTATCAGTCCTGAAAAACTGTTACACTAGATTGATATGTTATCTATCGGTCCTGAAACAGTCTCTTTTCAAATAGGGACTAAAGTTTAAAACTGGTTCGTCTTTGGTCCATTTCTATAATGAAAACGTTACACTAGATTGATATGTTATCGGTCCTGAAACAGTCTTTTTTCAAATAGGGATGATGAATAAATTTTTTAATATTTCTTAAAAAATTTTGATATTTGAATTGATAAAGACTGCAGTCTGGACTGAACCATTGGTCTTTTTCAGACTGTTTTTGAAACTGACAGTTTGGTCCGTCTTTAAATAAGACTGATATGGGACCAGACGGTCCATTTAACATTCCTATATAAAATTCAAAATAAAATTGAAAAAAAGATTTACTGCCACGCGAAAGAGTTGCATTTTTACTATATATTACGTTAATTTATTTATTTTCCGGTGCGATATTTATTCTCCTGTGACATATTGCATTATGTACAACGATCTTTTGTTAGGAGCAAGAGATAGGTAATATTAGTGGTAATCAAGAAGGGAACAAAAGTGGAGAGAATGTTATTCATTCATTCATTCATTATATTTATTCTAAAAGGGGATATTGGATAACTATATTAGGAGGGATAAAGAAAGATCCGAGTTAATAACTTATTATAACACAAATACAAAAAAAATAGTGTCACAAAAGAAAGTTCTTTTTCGAATATTAGGTAAGAATAAGGGAGGGTGCATGCGTGTTAACATATATTTATATTATCCAATGATAATAATAATGACAGTGTGAAGATGAGTAACGTAAAGAGTGGGAGCACACCCCTCTCTGTTCTTCTACAATTAATCTAATATGGCGTAAAACATGATTGATACAGTGAATTAAATTTACCAATTATATATCAATTATTATTGGCTTACCAAAAATGGTATCTACTCCTCAGGGGTGATCAATTTTAAATGCAACCAGATTTTTTACTTTAAACTTAATATATTAATATAGCAAAAATTATAAGAGTTTAAAATTTCATTATTTTGTAATATCATAATTTTCAAAATTTGCCGCTGTTTGAAATGCCAAATCGCACAAAAAAAATAAAATCGCTTACAAAAAGCTAATGAGGCCCGTCGTTGATTCAAATCGCAATCAGCAAATCTTTGAATTAAAGCTCTATCTAGATAATACAAAAACATTAAATTTATATTCATAATTATAAGAACCTGAGCTATCAAATAATATAAATTTCATATAGTTATTATAAAGGTTTTCGAAAAACTGCGTTTGAATACTTTCTTCGTATATTAATGTGATTTTATTATGATAATTTTCTTAAATTTTATTGGCTAAAATTTGTACACGTGATAAATTTTAAAACAAATTTTGCTGTATAAAAAGAAAAAATTTGTTCAAATTAAAAATGGGGTTTCAAAACATCAACAAAATAAAATTTATTAAAATAATAAACAAATAAAAAAAGAAAAAAAAAATTATATATCAACAAACATAACACTTATT